TCGAGCTCCCCCGGGTGGCCCTGGGACCAGCTCGAGCTCCTCCGGGACCAGCTCGAGCTCCCCCGGGTGGCCCTGGGACCAGCTCGAGCTCCTCCAGGACCAGCTCGAGCTCCCCCAGGTGGCCCTGGGACCAGCTCAAGCTCCCCCGGGACCAGCTCGAGCTCCCCCGGGGTGGCCCTGGGACCAGCTCGAGCTCCTCCAGGACCAGCTCGAGCTCCCCCGGGTGGCCCCGGGACCAGCTCGAGCTCCCCCGGGACCAGCTCGAGCTCCCCCGGGACCAGCTCGAGCTCCCCCGGGTGGCCCTGGGACCAGCTCGAGCTCCCCCGGGAGCAGCTCAAGCTCCTCGCCGCACGAGCGGTCCCGGTGCGATCAGCTGGTGCAGGTGCCACCAAGCGGCACTGGGATCCTAAAGGCCCCGGGCAGCGCAGGATGGAGCTGGGAGCTTGGTCGCCCCCCACGCCACATTGTCCCCCTTTGTCCCCGCGAGCCACAGCTCCGGGTGCCCTTCCCGCCGGCCCCGGGCGCCCTTCCCTCAGTTCCTCGGCCGGCCGGCGAGGACATCCCAGCGCGGGGCTGGGCCCGGGGAGGGGCACCGTGTTGGGCACTCACCGACTCCCCCGCCAGCTCCTTGGGAGGATGCCCCAGGTCCTGCAGCTGCGGGACGGGGGCAGAGGTTGGCGGCGGGCCGGGGGCCGCCCCGGCGGGGCACCGCTCCGCGCTCCCACCTGCTGCATGAGGTCCAGCACCGCCTCGAAGCGGGCCCTGTGCTCCGCCTCGCCGTCCGTGGGCCGCTCGGCCTCGAACTGCTCGCAGATCTTGCCCATGACGCTGTGCTGCTCGCGGTACTTGTCGTACTGCTCCGGGGACAGGCGGCCGCGGTGCAGCTGCAGCCACTCGGGGTACTGGGGTGGAGAGGGTGGGTGGCACCGGGACTGGGACCGGGGCGCGCGCCCCCGCGCCCACCCCTCACCTTCTCCGTGATCTCCTTGAGCGACGGGTAGAGCACCTCCTTGGAGAGCAGGTTCTGCATGATGTTCTGCATGAGCGGCACGATGCTGCCCTCGCCGTCGCCCTCCTCCAGGCCCAGCCCCTCGATGGCCTTGGCCAGCTCCTCCTCGGACACGCCGGAGCTCTGCGCGGGGAGCCGCGGCGTGGGGCGCCGGGGGCGGCGCGGCTCCCGCACGGCGCCCGCCCCGGCCCTACCTGCAGCTCGTCGGCGTTCCTGGCCAGGCCGCTGAGCGTCTCCTTGAGGCACGACGTGAACTCCTGCTGGGACGCGCTGTCGCTGCCTGCGGGGCCGTGGGATGCGGTCAGGGGGCTCCGCGGGGGACACGGCTCCTCCCTCGACCGCGCTCCGCTTTTCTCCCCGAGGGTTTCCCTGCCCCTGGAGGGAGAGCCCAGCTGGCCCGGGGCGCTGGGATGACCCCCGCAAGGTCCCCAATGCTCTGAGGTCCCAGAGACCCCCAACATGAGCAGGGGCTGCTCCTGGAGCGGGCACTGCCACTGTGTGCCCACGCGCAGCCTGCGGCTCTGCCACCGCGGGAGCAGCTCCTGCCGGGGTGACCGCGAGGAGCATCCCGGGCAGCCCGGGACGGCGGTGCCAGGCCTCAACAAGACGGACAAGCGGCACTTGTCCTGGTGCCGCCGTGGGAACACGGCCCGCGCTGGCAGCATGGCCTTTCCCTCCCTCATCCCGGGACGCTGCGGCTCTCCTGGAGCCTCCCACGTCCCTCTGCAAGGCGGGTGGTGGCACAGCGGGTGACGGGCAAAGCGCCGAGGGCCACGCTGACCCCTCCGGAGGCTCCAGCTCGGATGGACGAGATCCCGATCCATCCCCAGCTCGGGATGCTGAGACCTCCAGGCCCCACAAGTGTCCACAGGCACCAGAGAGGGCTGCGAGGGGGGACACGCGGCTGTCCCCGAGAGGGGCTGCGAACGCCAGCACGCGGCTCGGAGCTCCGCGGTGCCTCGGCCTTCCCTGGGACCCTCCCGCAGGCCCTTGCCATGTCCGGGGCGCCTCTTTCCCGTTAGTCCCCGGTCCTCGTCTCACGGGATGCGGTTCTGGGCACATTTCCATGCCTGGGGACAACCCCAGCGCCCAGGCCCCACTTCTGAACATAACAACTGAGCAGTTCCCTAGGATGACTCCATCCCGCACTCCGATGGCCAAAGAGGGAAAAGGGAGTCGTGGGTCCTGGCAGGGCAGGACCTGCGGGAAACTGGAGCAGGGGCCTGTGCAGGGCTCATCCAAGGCCCCGCTCCGTGCCCAGGCCTGCCGAGAGCTCCCCACGGCGCACTGGCCAAGCGGCGGCTGCATCCAGGCCCCTCCGGCAGGGATGCCCTTTGTCCCCTCTGCCACCAAAGCACCCTCTGTCCCGCACCGCAGGTGACAAGAGCAGCTGCTCCCGCAGCCTGGAAGGAGCCTCTGCTCTGCCCCGTGGCCCAGGGCGGCCGGCGGCTCCGGAGCCGGCGCAGAGCCCAGCACGCGGCTCCCGGCGCACGGAGCGGGGACATCCCAGCCCGGCACGGCTCTGCCCTTGTCCTCGGGGCAGGGCCCTGCCCAGCCAGTGCCAGGGACGGACATGGAGCCTGCGGCGCTGCCGGCAGCTGCCGGGGCCGCTCCGGGTGCCACAGCTAAGCCCAGCAAGGCAGGATTTACTTTTAAACTGGTCTGAGCTACCTAAAGGGTTCACCAGGTTGCAACAGGACCCTGTGCGGTGGTGCAAGAGACCGCGCTCGCTGAGCCAGAGAGCAAGGAGGGCTCCTGCAGACAGCGCGGCGGGCACCGGAGCCGGCACGGGGGGCACCAGCGCGGGCAGATGCTCCCGGTGAGGGTCAGGACGCACACGGCACCCGCGGCGACACCGGCACCTCTCCGCTGCCCGGGGAGCGATGCCGGTGGCGGCGGCTCCGGGCAGGCCCGCGCTGCGGTCCAGCCCCACACGTTTCTCAACCCTCTCCTGGGCTGAACCCGACCTGGTTTAGGCAGCGGAATTGAGCCCCAAGCGGCTCCGTGGCGCTTGTCCCCGCGCTCAGACACCCCAGCGACACGCGGCCCGTCACCAGGGCCCGGCACTACGGAAAGGGGAAGGATCCTGCTTCCAAATCCATCCCTCCGTACACCTGCCGGTGCTAAGTGTCGCGAGGCGCCCGCGGGGCTCCGAGCCCAAACTTCTCCTGAGGAATCCAGGCCATGCAGGTCTCCCCGCAGCAGGGATTGATGATGAGCAGCCTCCCAGCGGATGGTCCATAGCCGGGATACAGCAGGATCCCCATTGCCGTAAGGACAGCCGGACAGAAAGGCAGCGGGGCCACATCCAAAGCTCCCCTGGCAGTGGCGGCTGCAGCCGGCACGGCTGGAAGCCGAAAGGCTCCCGGCACCCACGCGGGATCAGCGTTATCCACGGCAGCCCCGGGCGCACGGCGCCGCTCACCCACGCGTCCCGCCGCCTCCGACAGCTTCTGGAACTGCTCCACCAGGTGCGGCTCCTCCTCGGCCAGCTCCTTCATGGCCTTCTCGAACTCCGCCGTGGCCTGCGAGGCCAACTCGCTGTCGAACAAGTCCTGGAAAAACTTCTCCTGGGAGGCGAAGAGCGATTCCTGGGGGACAGAGGCGGCGTGAGCGGCGCTGGGGGGACGGCGCGCGGGGCGGCGGGGTCCGGCCGTGGCCGCCGCACCTTGGCCGCGTCCCCGGGGGACTTGTCACCGCTGTCCCCGCGGGCGGGCGGCGACGGGGCGGCGGGTCTGGCCCTCTCGAAGTCGTCCAGGGCACCTGGGGACGGGAGCGGGCGGCTGAGCGGGCACCTGCGCGGGGACGGGGCCGGCTGGTGACAGCCCCCGGGCCGGGCTGGGGGCCCCGTGCAGCCACACGGGGGACCCCACGGGTTGGGGGACCCCACAGGCCAGGCTGGGGGCCCCACGCAGCCACACGGGGGTCCCCACGGGTTGGGGGACACCACAGGCCAGGCTGGGGGCCCCACGCAGCCACAC